CCACAGCCTCCACTCTCATCCAGACAAGCTGAGAGAACCTCAGACCCATTGGATAATTGCAGAAGCTGACATGGCAGCACTCCTGTTCTCTGATCCCTTTACCTGCCTCACTTTCTGTTACACCCCCTGTCCCTGACCACTGACTATATCAGAAAGCCCTATCCTAAGAGGGGTGACCGTCTCCTTGTACAAAGAATCCAAGTATCTTTCCCCTTCCCTGATGCATCACTGTGTCTTAGTTCAGCCTCCAGCTCAGAAACTCTGACCTGAAGCTGCTCAAACACTCACTGCAGATAGGTTTGCTCTGGATCACAGGAATATCTGTGAGCTTCCAGACCAAAGAGCATTTTTCACCGAGTTGATGGTCCTTAAAGTGTAATCAATGTTTGTTTCAGTGTGTGTCCCGCGGAACAGTCCCTAGAGCACAGTTCAGTATTATAGAGCTGCTTGGGACAAATCTCAACAAGAACCACTGTATCTCTCTCCAGACTTCCTTTGCAAAGACACATTCCAGGAGATGTGTGACAGTCTTTGTTAGTGAGGGCAGCGTGCAGTGGCACAGAGAGTCCAGGCGTACATGAAGGATGTCACAGGTAGTGCCCTTTTCACCACCAGACAAGCGACATCTTGGTGCTTATTGCAGAGTTCTGGTGATGAGGTGTTCTGCCAAATGACTTTGACAGTTGCTTAGGGAACTACCCAACAGAATAACCCTCTCCTTTTCCTGGAGGGTCTATGTGCTGACCGCTGCCCGAGGGACTTGTGGTCAAGGTTGTTTTCTTTCACAAATTTTTCCATGAGGGACAGATGATGCGGAACAGTCCAACTAATTGGAGCGTTCCATGGCAATAATGCTGGGAATATCCTTCATATCTCTGGGGACAGATAGAACCTCAGTACGCAGTGACACTTAATGTTTGGCATGCTTGATGCAGCCACACATGAAGGTGTTCATCAAGATGACGGGGTACCCTTATCTATGGCTTTGTACATCGTGTCCCTTCGAACCTGGTCCATCTTTGACCTCCAGATGAAGTGGAAGATGGCTTCGGTGACTGCAGTGGCGCAGGCACAGGGGATGGGCCAGACCTGTGCCACGTACAACACCGAGAGTACCCCACATCTGATAACCACGTGTTTTCCTAGAATGGAGAGGGAGCAGTGCTCCCATTCACCCAGTTTCTGCCTCACCTTCGCAACACATTCCTCCCAAGTTTTGGCACACGCTCCAGCCTTTCTGAACCAAATATCCAGCACCATCTGCTAATCTGCCCTGATGGTGGGTTAAAGGTGTAAAGGACAGTCAATAAAACATCAGCAAATAATAACGTGTGGATTTTGCTTACTGGGTGTCTATGCACAGCTTGATGCACTTGCACACAAAGGTGAACATCAGACTGAGGGTAAAGTTGATTAAGTTTTGTCCCTTTTATCTCATACCTCTGTGGATACAGTTTATTTTGATCTCCAAATGAAGTGGAAGATGTCCCAGGTGACCACTGCAATACAGGAGTGTGATATGGGCCATACCTACTTTGCATATAGCAACAAAGAGCACCTTGCATCTGATGATCATCTGAGGACAGTCAGTTTAACTTTGATGGTGAGGAAACAATAATTCAGGATAAAATAGTCACTTGGGCAAATGTAGGTTCTTCAAGGAAAACAGTCCAGAATAATTAAGGGCAAATTGTGCTTACAAAGTTTTTGTGGACTTTTGCATAGGTAATAGAAATGTTTCATGAAGGTAGTGATGTTGATATGGTTTCATTGGCTTCCAAGGGGCATTTGGTACAGTGTTGTAAAACAGATGTGTGTGCAAAGTCATTTTTCATAGAGTAAAAGGGACAGTATCAACGCGGATACAAACTTGGCTGAGTGGTAAGAAGCAAGTGTAGATTTTGATGGATTTTTTTCAGCTTAGAGGATGATTTGTAATGGAGTTCCCCAGCGATGAGTGTTGGAACCCTTGCTCTTAACACAGAAAATAGGAGCAGGCTATTCAGTTCTTCGAGCCTGCTCCATCATTCAATATGATCATGGAAGAGCTACAATTTTATTCACATTCTACTTTACCATAGGTCCAATATAGTTACATGCAGGTTTTACAGTTTGATCATTTTAATGTTCCTGTTCTCGCTTTTCCCCATACCCTTTCATCCCTTTAAGTCCCAAGAACTACAACTAACTTCTGCTTGAAAACATTCAATGTTTTGACATCAACCACTTTCTGGGACAGAGAATTCCACAGGCACATCACTCTGGGTGAAGAAATTTACCCACATTTCAATCCTAAATAGCTTACCTGTACTCATAGACTGTAACTATTACTGTCTTCATAATATATCTTACCGGAATATTGGGTGCAAAATGATATAACACTTGGAAGAGTTGTGCATTCTGAGGAGGGTAATGTCGAATTTCAAAAGGAAAGATTGTAGAATGGACAGACAAAAGGAAAGTTAAGTTCAATGGAGAGAACTGTGAAGTAATTCATTCAGTAAGAAGAACACAAGGAGACATTAAAATAATAAAATTCTAAAGGGGCTACAGGACTACAGGAATTCGGTGCTTCTGCGCCTAAGTTACTGAAGGTGGTAGGATAGGTTGAGAGAGTGGTTAATAAAGAATCCCAAACTTTTAATTAGGGGCATGGAGTTCAAGTGCTCGGGAGCTATTTTAAACTATAAGGGGCCTGGATAGAGAAAAACTGTTCCTATTTATAGAAGGATCAAGAACAAGCAGATTCAGATTTAAGGCAATGGACCAAATAAACAATGGAGACATGAAGAAAAGTTTTTCATTCAATGCGTGGTTATCATCTAGAATCTAATGCCCAAGGCATTAGTAAAGGCTGTTTAAATTGGAGACATTTTAAAGTAGATTAGACTATTATTTGAAAAGGAAGAATGTGCAAGCAGTATAAAGGCAAAGGAATGGCCTCAGGTAAATTGCTAAGTTGAAGAGCTGGTGCCAACATAATTATCCAATGGTCTCCTTCTGTGCTGTAACAATTCTCTGATTCTAAGATGACCAGATTCTTAACCACAATGGAGAGGCAACATCAATCACACATGCCCAGTTTCTGTTTGACCTTGGCAATATACTCCTTCCAGTTTTGGTGTATGCCTCCGCCCATTTAAACAATAGCTCTGGCACCTTCAGATAGTCTGCTTTCGTGATAAGAGGAACAGAGGATTGGTTAGAGATAGTAGGAACTGCAGATGCTGGAGAATACAACGCATCATCCTCCGACACTTCAATCCAAGGCATCATCCTCCGACACTTCCGCCATCTGCAATCCGACCCCACCACCAAAGACATCTTTCCCTCCCCACCCTTATCTGCTTTCCGGAGGGACCACTCTCTCTGTGACTTCCTTGTCCGCTCCACACTCCCCTCCAGCCCCACCACACCCGGCACTTTTCCCTGCAACCGCAGGAAGTGCTACACCTGCCCCCATACCTCCTCCCTCACCCCCATCCCAAGCCCCAAGAAGACTTTCCACATCAAGCAGATGTTCACCTGCACATCTGCGAACGTGCAATACTGCATCCGCTGTACCCGTTGTGGCCTCCTCTACATCGGGGAAACCAAGCGGAGGCTCGGGGACCGCTTTGCAGAACACCTACGCTCAGTTCGCAATAAACAACTGCACCTCCCAGTCGCGAACCATTTCAACTCCCCCTCCCATTCCTCAGACGACATGTCCATCCTGGGCCTCCTGCAGTGCCACAACGATGCCACCCGAAGGTTGCAGGAACAGCAACTCATATTCCGCTTGGGAACCCTGCAGCCCAATGGTATCAATGTGGATTTCACAAGCTTCAAAATCTCTCCTAACCCTACCGCATCCCAAAACCAGCCCAGCTCATCCCCGCCTCCCTAATCTGTTCTTCCTCCCACCTATCCCCTCCTCCCACCTCAAGCCGCACCCCCATCTCCTACCTACTAACCTCATCCCGCCCCCTTGACCTGTCCGTCCTCCCTGGACTGACCTATCCCCTCCCTAACTCCCCACCTACACTCACCATTGCTGGCTCCAGATCCGCCTCTTCAACCTGTCTGTCTCCTCTCCGCCTGTCTTCTCCTCTATCCATCTTCTATCCGCCTCCCCCTCTCTCCCTATTTATTTCAGAACCCCCTTCCCCTCCCTCATTTCTGATGAAGGGTCTAGGCCCGAAACGTCAGCCTTCCTGCTCCTATGACGCTGCTTGGCCTGCTGTGTTCATCCAGCACTGCACTTTGTTGTCAGAGGATTGGTTAGCTCAATTCTCAAAGAATATGCCCTTCCTGTTGCTGCATATCAATTGTTGCATATCAATAATGCTTATTCTCAACTTGTTCAGAATCCTAGTCTCTATTGCTTAACTGGAGAGTGTCCATTCACGTTAAGTTAACAATAGTTCTATGAATAAAAGGAAAATATTATGGACGCTGTAAATCTAAAATCATAAAGTGCTCCAATAGTGAGCAGGCCTCTATGAAGAAATGAGTCAAACGTAACTCTTTTAGTGCTGCAGACAGGGTGGGAACACTTGAATAAGAAAATGGCCAAGATCAAACAGAAACTGGGCATGTGAAAAGGGCTGTCAGATTTTGTGGAGACAACAAAACACTTAGGTTGAATGACCTTTGGTCAGAGTTCTGAGAAAGACCAAATTAACTTTGTTTCTTTCTCCAAAAATGCTGCTGGACCTGCTGAAGATTTCGAGCATAGTTTTAAATTTTCAATTTAGATTTCTATCAACCGAAGTAAGTTGCTCTTGAGACAATCGCTCTATCGACTTGGTATAACTTAGTCCCAAATTTGTCAAACACCGTTGCACATTTTACACTGGCGAGACATCAAAGTCACAAAATGATCCTCCTCCTGTGTAGGTGGCGACGTGGTTACTGTCAGTCCGAGCGCATCCACTCCTCCAGGGTAAGGTGGCGCTGGCGCCACTTTGCCCGCCCATGGTGTGTTGGTGCTCCTCCTGGCCAGAGGGCGCTGTCTCTCTCCGTTCGCTGTGGCGTGTTGTGGCCGCTCTGTCCGTTGTTCCCCGGCGCTGTCCTGCTGCCGCCGCCGCTGCTCGGTGCGACTCTGTGAAACTCCTGCTTTGCTGGACACCTGAGAGCGAACCGCCGGGATTCATGAGGTGAGCGCCGCTGCTGGAGCCGGGAATGGAGCCCGCGGCAGCTCGGGCGGGAGGCTAGCTGCAGGCCGCGCTCAGCCTCCCTCCCTCCCGCCTGCTCGCTGGCTGAGAAACAGTATTTCAGAACTCGAGCGGGACGGTGCGCGGAGGAGGGGGAGGGAAGGCCAGGGCCTGGCTATATGTCGGGGCCCTCCTTAGAAAACAAAAAAAAACGAAGAAAACAAAATCCCCGGTCCCGGACGCGAAGTTGCAGAAATTCAACGAGTCGCTGAATGAAGCGGCGGCGAGTCTGAACTCGGGGCCGCGGCCTGTTCCCCGAGTCTTTGTAATTTATGGCGGGATAGAACTGAGTATTTCCCGGATACGCGCCCGCCCCCCTTCTCCTCCCCACTGTCTGCCATGAAGTTGTAAATAACCGGCCCGAGGTGTGTGACTGCACTCCATCATACCGCCACTGCTGTCCTGGTGTCGAGGCCTGAGATTGCAGGCCCGAGGAGCCCGTGCGCGACAACTTTTTGTGGTGATGTGAGGTTGGTGGGCGGCCGGATAGCTCCTGCACCATACCGAGGACGGGCACGCATTCACTCTAATTCGGACCCTGCTCCGGGTTCAGCCAAAACGCAGGCCGATTGAGCGGAGTTTGTGACCGCTTCTTCTCCCACTCTGCATACCCCTGACCCCGTCCAGAAAGTGACGGGAAAACATTTTTGGCTGCAAGACCTTAAAGACACCTTTTCCGAGTCTCTTGGCTCCTTCCATTCCTCAACGTTATCAACAAGATCGGTCAGCATGGATCTGCTGTTTTATGCCTTGACATTTTTTTAATTGAGGAAGGATTGGAAAGGAAAAAACTGAGTGTAACATTTTAAACTTGTTTCTGACCAGCAGAGGCCAGTAGTGATCTACAGAAAGGGAAAACTCGAAGGAGATGGCTTTCCCACAACCGAAACCTGCAGATGGAAAAATCATAATCTACCCTCCTGGTGTTAAGGAAATTACCGACAAAATTTCCAACGATGAATTGGTCAAAAGGCTAAAGGTACTTTTAGACGTGACTTGTTGAAATAATTTTCCAAGATGCTTTGTTTTCTGAAAGATCCATCAATTTGAGACCACAGCGCAGGGCAACTCTCAGCTGGTCGGTTGGCATCTTTGGTGAAAGAGTTAACGTTTCAGGTGCATGACCTTACATGAAAACATGACTTGGATTTTCTTTCATTTTATGCTTAAGATTACCAATAAATTAATTCTACTTTGCACAGATCACTTAATTGCAATATTTTTGATAATTTAACAAGTTGCAACATGGCAATGTCTGGCATTGTTTCACAGTTTGACTTTGTTTTGCAGTTTCATTGAAAATTAAGAAATTATTTCAAGTTAGTTAAGCATGAATAGTTTATCAGCATTACAAATTGATCATTTTGTCTTTGTGCTATCTTTTATATTAGTCTATCTTGAAACAATGATCTGCAGTTGAGAATTTAGTTCTTGATGGATTGCCATAGGTTATGAGAGAATTAGTCAGTGGCTCCTCTTCCTTCCCTTCTCCAACTCCATTACTCCAAATAAAGTTTAATAATATTGCTTTGAAGAACTTTGTCCAATAGATTTTGATATTATCAACACACTTCAGGGAAAGTTTTGTGTTATATTTTGTAGATTGCTGCAGTTCTAGAATGCTAACTTATTTTTCTAAAATGTGCAGGACTGTGGAATTTTTATTTGGAATGCTTAAAAAAATTGAAATTGCTTTACCTAACTGATTTTTGATAGTGGATGTTTTACAGTGTTGAAATCTACCTAGCCATTTACCCATTTCGAGAGAGTGATATTTTGTTTTTCACTCGGTTTGAATTTTTATTTCTCATAATGCTCAATTAATTTACTCCAGTTTTTACATGTGCACTGAGTTATATCCAGTGTTATGCTTATCCACAAATCTGTGACATGCAATGTGACAGTATACAATATTGATTTATTATACTGATGAAAATTGTTTCAAAGGTGTTTTGCATGTCATATGGCTCGTTGAATTGGAAAAAGATGAAGAAGCTTGTCATCTGGTCTTTTCTTGCTGTTGACTGAGAAGATATCAGAAAGCTAAGAATCTTGCAACTTAAATATTCTATGAACAGCATATGACAGATCAGGTTGGCTGTAAGAAAAGCCAAAAGCACGTCCATCAATCAGAAGTTACATACTATCTGGGCAACACATCAAAAAATTACCATTATAACTATTGGTCTTTAGATCCTTGTCTTTTGGCTGAAAAAAAAATCTGTTTTCACTAATTAACTAAAATTTTATTCAGAATTACTACCACTTTCAAATGGAGAGCGGGTGTAATAGCAAGTACTTCATTTTAAAATTCCAAAGGAAGATGATGATAGGATGACCTATTAATTCTTAGGGAAAATGAAAATAGAAAAGTAATAACAATTGAACACAGGGTGTTTACTTTTTTGAAAAATAAACATTTCGGTATTTCTAAGACTCTGATAGCCTCACGTTAATTTCCTTTAGAACTATTTTGCACATTTGTAGTTCTGCCTCATCAATACAAGTTCTTTCTGATGCCATTTATAATTGATATAAATTTCAAATGAAATGAAAATTTGATCACAACTGAATATGATTGTAAATGGTCTAACAAAGAATCATGTAAAATTTTGTGATATTTCATAGTTCTACAAAGTAGTTCGTTATAATTTTCTGTAGGATGTCTGAAATGTTTTATTCTGTATCTTGGCTTTTATTTGCTGAGAACCTTGTTAGTAAGAATATTTTGTGATCAGTACGTCGTGACTAACAAATGCCGTTCCAGTTGTTGAAATTGTTCTGATTTTCTTGAGATTATATCTATTTGTGAGATTCTGTTGAGCTCAATAGAAAAATGGGATATAGTCTACGTAATTAAGCATATGAATAAAACTGGAGTCAACATTTTGAAACTGAATGCAGTATTTCAAAATAAGAAATCTCAGGCTCTACATTTATTGTTTTAAATATTTTAATTTTATGAAAAAGTTTGATTGGGTAGAAGTGGAGATGGTTCCCGCTATGGCTTGTAAATGCAGAATTCGGTGTTTATCTGTGGATTCTCTCCCGTGGATCTGTGTACTTGTGAAGTTGACCCCAGATTCCTTTTCTGATAGACCTGTCCAGTCTGATTATGCAGTCCTCCTGGTAAAGTTACATGGTAGCAGTATCTCTATTTGCTGTTATCCATGGGAAATCTCTGCCCCTTGCCTTTGCAAATAATGAGGATTTGGCATATTTAATTCAGGAAATATGCCATTATCCAGAGAGTGGTTATAATATAGAACTTGCTGTTGTTTGGAGTGGTTGAGGCAACTAGATGCTCACAGTAGAAGATAGCGATTAAAAAAGCATTTAGAAGAATAGAGGAAGCAGGAATAGAAATTGGCCTTGCAGTCCGTTGAGCTTGTCCCCTACTCAGTGGGAGTGTTCCTGATGGTCTGCATTGACAACATCTTCCCACATTCCTCATATCAAAATTCTTTCAATCTGACTGAGTTTACTCGCTCACTGAGCATCCTATGTTTTTCTGTCGTAGAGTATGCTAAAGGAATATGACCCAAAGAATGAAAATTTCCTCCTTATTTCAGTCCTAAATGGCCAATCCTTACTCTGAGACCAACCGTAGTTCTAACCTCCTGAGTCAGGGTAAACAGTCTCTCGGTGTTGACCCAGTCAAACCCTGCGATGATTTAATAAGTTTTAGCATTTCCACTTATCTTGTAAAATTCCATGAAATATGTGCCGAGCCTTATTTGTACTCTCCCTCAAAGAGCAATATCCTCACCCCATGAGTCAGTCAGCCAACCTTTGTTACATTATCACTAGAGTGAATATCTCTCCGACCAGGGGACAGAAATGTACACAGTATTTCACGTGTAGTCTCACCTAAGCCCTATGTTATTACATTAAAATGAGTTAACTGTTTTTATAATAAAGGCCAGTATACCGTTTGCTTTCCTAATTCTTGCTGAGCTTCGTGATTTGTATATAAGAGCATAGAATCCTTCTGAATCCCAGCATTTATTAGTTTTTCACTATTTAAGACAGATTGTTTTTTCTGTTTTCTGTCAATGTATTTGATAGTTCACTATCCCCAGAAGCATGGCTCCTAATTTTTTGCAATATTGTGTTGTGCCATCATGTCAAATGTTTGTTCAAGATCCAAAGTCACTGCATCCACTGGTTTCCACTTGTCACTCAAATTTGCAACCTTTGAAGAGTAGAAAATCAAAACATTGTAGGGAGGAGAAATGTAAAGCAATCATGGTCACTAGAGAAATTGTACTTGGTAAACTAATGGGGCTAAAGACTGACAAGCACTCTGGACCAGATGGCCTATATTCTCGGGTCTTGGAGGAATAGGCTGCTGGTCGTAACCTTTGAAACTTCCCAAGATCTTGGAAGTATTTCAGTGGTGTGGAAACCTGCAAATATGACATAACAGACAGAAAGCAGGCAACTATAGGCTAGTTAGTCTAACACCTGTTTTGGGAAAATGCTAGAATCCAATATAAAAGAATTGGCACCAGGACATTTAGAAACTTATAATATACCTATGTCACGTCAGCATGGTTTTGTGTATGTTAAGTAGTGTTTAATAACTAGTCTTTTGAGGATGAAGCAAGTAGGGTGGAAAAAGGGGAACTAGTAGTTGTAGTGATTTTGCATTTTCAAAAGTAAAAAGGTACTTCATAAGATAGTGCCCCTTGGTCCTGGGGATTATTGTATTTGAATGGATAGAGGGCAGACTAACTAACAGGAAGCAATGGTTTGGGATAAAAGGGCCAGTTTCAGATTGGAAAATGGTGTTTGGTAGTGTAGTACAGGGATCAGAGCTGTAGTTTAAACTATTTACATTTGATAATGGTTATGCCGTAATCTACCGTTTTTCTTTGGTAGCTACTTGGGTTCGAGGATGACATTCTTCCATCCAGTGTTGTGGGTCTTGAAATGACTGAAACAGTCCAATGCAAGACCTGCACACTCTGTCACTGCCACGGTAGGTAGTGTTTGATGAAGCAGTGGGTGGGATGTTTGGTTTTTTGCGTTCTTCTTCCACTGTTTGTGCTTGGCCACATCTGGATCTGTCAGAAATGCTCTTTGGTTGCACCTTTGTGGATGCTTCTCCAGTTTGATCAGTTTTTGATAAGAGATTCCCATAAATTGGTGAGAATGCTACGCTTCTGCTGGCCTCTTGTTAATTGCTTACTTAAGGAATTTGTATCAGGCATATGGGTAATGTGGAACAAAAACAAAGTTGCTGGAAAAGCTCAGCAAGTCTGGCAGCATCTGTGAAGGAGAAAACAGAGTTAACGTTTCGGGTATGGTGACCCTTCCTCAGAACTGATGGTGGCTGGGAAAACGTCAGTTTATATGCAGAAAATAGGGAAGTGGGTGGGGTAGGGAGTAAACGATAGGATAGAGCCCACAGAGAGAGAAAGACAGTTGGACAGACAAAGGGGTTGCTAACGATCAGGCTGGGAGGGTGAATGGTTGTTAATGGGGACTGTTAGTGACTAACAACAGTGGGTGTGTAATGGCAGGCTATGTGGTAACAAGGCCTGGTGTGTGGCGTGGGGAGCTGAGACATGGGAGAGTTTAGGCCCTAAAATTATTGAACTCAGTATTGAGTCCAGAGGGCTGTAGGGTCCCCAAGTG